CGCTACTGCGAATGCGTCAGCTGTACTCGCTTTAGTGGTCAAAAAAAGAAGAGCAAGCACATCTCGGGAACAATTGTGAGCACTCCCCGATGGAAACTCACAGTCACAACACCTCTCCTTTCTCTGCAATTTAGAGCTTTGTTTGATTCTCTTTTAGGAGAAAAAAAAAAGGAGATATCTTACCAGTCTTGTCGCAGGTCCCTGACTTTTGTAAGGCACCAACCTTCACCCATCACAGTGGGAACTGACATACAGACCTTCAAGGACTCTGTCCCCATGCTGAGGGGCCACTGCCTTGGACCCGTATAGCACCCCGCTGGAAGCGCCTTGGTCAGATTTAAAACTGCACAAGGTTCCATCTGGAAGGATTCCTCTCCTTATCCAGCGAGGCTCGGGTACCATTCATTTTGGCTCACAGCTTTCCAAATAGATCCGATTAAAGTCCCTGATTCTCTAATGGAACTGTTCTGGACTTTCAGGTATGCTCCAAGAGCAAAACATTCAGTGACCATCCACCTTACAGACATTGGCAAAAAAACTGAAGTACTTCCTGTATAGGAGGGGTTATATAGGGGAGGACCTCCTCTCTGATTAGTTGGCCAGTGTCCAGCCACCTATAGGTGGCCTATAACCCACATAGTCATGAATAGCCTGCTCTGTGCCCTGTGATGTACGATAAAGAAAGACTAATATAAAATAAGGTTCCCCCCCTTTATTGATGTAGACTTTATATGTTTAGCTCCCGTAAAGACAATTTGGGATCAGTAAACCAGTAAAAATTATGTTGCTTCACAGAGTTAGCATCCTGAGAACCCCCTGACCCCCAAACCTTACAACTGGTGCAAGGACTGGTGCAGTCAGGCTTTGGAAATGTACATTACATGTATTGAACACAGTGAGGTTGATTTACCAAAACTAGAGAGTGCAAAATCTTGTGAAGCCGTACATGAAAACCAATAAGATTCCAGTTTTTTTTTTGTCAATGCTTAATTTAACAAGCTGAAGTTAGAAGCTGATTGGCTACCATGCACAGCTGCACCAGATTTTGTACTCTCCAGCAGTGGGGGGGGGGGGGGGGGGGGAGGGGGGGTCAGAAAAGTCCCGACTTCCGCTGTGCCCGTCCTCTTGCCTCCTGAGTGTGCAGTTACTGTGACCTCACTCTGAGCCTCAGCATGTCACTCATTGCAAGTTGCACTGACTGCGCTCTACCTATGACTGCCGCTCTCCATCCATTAGCAACCTCTGGCTGTCTGGGCTCAGCGATGGGCACCGTGATTAGCCAAACTGGGTCACACGTGGGTGCAGCAGCGGACAGAGCTGGCTGTGGGTGATTGGGGTCATGCAGTCGCTTGCTCCTGCCTTGCTTTTTGGTCCTCACCACTGGACCTCTGGATCTCCTCCTCGTCCATCACACTCAGCATGGGAAACAAAAAGAGCCCTAGTACCAGGTGAGTGGTGGCGGAGCACTGCCAGGGCCAGGCTGGCTGGAGACGAGCAAGCACAAATATTCCTAGGGGGGCAAAATAGTTTAGCAGGATCTTAGCCTTCTCTACCTCCAGCAGTAATAAATGGCAGTAGCAGAGCCAGGAGTGGGAAGCAAAGGCTGAAGTGGAGTCATCACCCTCCCCATCACCTCATTACACTTCAAAATCTTCTGTATTAGTGTTCCCTGCCAACCTTCCATCTTGCAAGTGTTGGAGTCAAATAAGCTCACCCCTAGCCACTCCAGTGCCTTACTACTAACCTTGCATTACTTCTGGTGCTGCAACTGTTGAACTGAAAATTATTGGACACAGCCTGCTTCCATCACAATGTGGCCTTCACTGTCCTCCTAGTACTCCATTCCCTGCCTCCACTATTTTTCTAAAAAAAATGTACTCTGCCCTACGTGACCCAGAATAGAGAGCCTGTCATTGCAGCAAACTGTCAATGCCAAGGTGCACCTGACCTCAAATATGTGGGCCAGTTCGCATGGGCTGAGGTGGTGGATATTGTTTACCACAAAATGGGTAAACCTAAAGATGGATTGGCAGCAAAGATGGATTGGGGTAAACCTATTGAATTTATGGTACCATCACAAATTGGGGGAGATTTAGACAACTTTGCCATCTGTACCCCTCCTCCTATTCCACCCCCTGCCTCCTCCTCCTTGTCTTCCTCTATGAATCCTTTTTCCAAGGACAAACCCTTATAAACACCACCATTTGGACCCCCTAAGCACCACTATATAAAGAAATTCACAAGCTAAGTGGTGTTAAACTTGTTTACATAGGAGACCTCTGCCACAGAGGCAGGCCCAGGCTGTTACATGGATAACCCTGCACAAGCTCAAGACAGGCAAAGTCATCTGTAACAATTGGTCAAACCCGTTAGTAGCCCTTCATCTGGGAAAGCTCATACACGTACCTTTCCTGGGCCCCATGATGAACCCAGTAGTTCAATGTTTGCTGGAGTTTTTTTTGGCTCAGGGACAGGGGTATAGAGCCACAGGGCCAGGAAGGCCAAGATGAGCAGTAGGAGAAGAAGGAAGGGCTTCTCCCAAAAATCAATATCAGCTGAGCAGTGCCAAAAGCCAGGTAGGAGAGACTTTGACTAAAAATAACAGAGCAAGTAGGCCAGACTTCCTCTCTGCCACATGTCTCCATCCTTGGGACACAGATGCAGGACGAAGGGACATTACAACTATTTTAAACCCTAGCCATAGTCTGTGGATGCTGGTAAAAGTCAGAGGACATTGTTGCCTGAACTGCAGGAATCTGGGTTTTCAATGGTAGACAGTTTTAGGTATAGCAACTGTCTTGTAACTTGGTGTGCTTACAGAATGACCATCATATAGGTCACATCAAAATTACTGATAATCAAAGGATGACCACCCTCTTGGATCCACACTACAAGGCCAAAATGGTAGAACACATCCCACCAAAAAAAGAGGGAAGCCAAGATGCATCACTATGAGGAAGCATTTTAAGGTTCTTGTACAGAGCTCTGCAACCCATGGCAAACAAGCAAAGGGAGGTCAAACAAAGGTGTTGAAACATTTTTTTAGATAATTGCAGCCAGGCCTTGCCCCAGGTAGTCTCCGATCAGACTCTGACTGACCTGACCTGTGTCACTGTGTGTGTCTTCTGACTTACCAACAGACTATAGCAGCAGCTGAAGCCCTCCTCAGACAAGGAGTGCACCTTCCTTACAGTGTGTACACCTTCAAGAACAGTGCCTGTGACTGATGCATGATGTGTGCAAGGTACAGGGGACCTCCACTCGGTGAGTTTCTCACTTTTCATGCCACCATCTTCCTGCACCTCCCACACCATCCCTCAGGGCTGACATTTGAAGGTATACTTTAGAGCCCTACCAGCCAGGTGAGTGGTGCTGGGGGACACGGCCAGCAGTCTGTGGAGGGGGGCAGTCGGCGGTGTGGTGGAGCAGCTGTACATGTGCTTCGGTAATGGGTTTAACACTGTTCTAGTGGAAAGGATTCAGGGAGTGCTAAAAGTCCATGGGTTAGAGGGCGCAAATAACTTGCCTTGCCCCGAGCACTGACAAGCCACACTACACACACTGCTCCAGTTTAAGTAAATCAACCACAGCGGGTGCACTTATGGAGCAAACAATCAGACCAGCAACCACTGTCACAAATGCAGGTTCTTCCCACTACAGAGTGAGTGGTCGAACCAAACTGCGTTGGTCCCCAAGCCCAAAAGCACTCTGTGATTCTGCAATGATTTCCATGGGCTTAAAGTGGAACTTCACTCTCTCAATCAACATTGACTATTTTGAATTCTTATGAATTCTTATAATGCTAGCATTAGTAAACAGATAGAAAAGTAGATCATATTTACTTGTTTTAAACTTTTTTTTTTTACATTTTTTCAGTTACTTCCTAGTTTCCATGCCTATGCAAATTATGTCATACATCCCAGCAGTCTTCAGGAGAGGAGGGAGGGTTCTCAGCTCAGCCTATGCCTGAGCCAAGTTCAAATGGATTCCAGGAACTAAAAGATCCATGAATTATTTGCCCTTGCTCAGGATGGCCCCTGCCAGAAATGCCAGGGGGTGTTTTTCAAAATGATTTCTCAGCAAAATAAAGCATGGAGACATGGATGGAAGGGGGAGTATGCTTTGAATATTACAAATGAAATAAATAGCATTTTTGGTTTGTAGTGCTCAGATGCAGCGCAGCTCCACTTTAGATGTCCCATGTTACGGGTGGATGAATTAACTGAAAGGCTACGCCAGACCTGATACATCACAACTCTGGATCTTATAAAAGGCTATTGGCAGATAACCCTAACTAAGGGAACCCAAGACAAAGCGTCTTTCTCCTCAAACAGGAGGTGGACCACATGTTATGCCCACATCAGTGTATTTGGATAACATTGTCATTTTCAGCAGGGACTACAGTAGGATAACATTTACTTAAGGTCAAGGCAGTGTTAGACTTCCTGAGGAGAGGTGGATGTACAGTGAACCCTGAGACATGGAGAATGCAAAGAAAATTGGGTATTGTGGGAGGAAGGATGGTGCAACTTCAAGCCAGCAAAGCAGAGGTTATACGATCCTAGCCTTTCCCCTAGCCAAAATGCAAAAGGTGTGTGTTCCTGGGCATAGTGGAGTAGCAGTTGACAACCCATTTGATCAAGATGCTACACATGGAGAAGTGGAATACGATCAATAGTTAGGACACAATTATAACTGATGATTATAAGTTCAATCACATCTCCACCATATAATCTCACAATCTGACAATTGAAATACGATCAAATTTATATACAAAGTATCTCAGTGATGCCGATCATTGCAAAATGATTGATAGTTTTCCATCCTGGCCAATCAACTCTGTTTGTTCAGACTTGTTCTAAATTGAGCCCTTGCCCTGGTCAGCTACTAATGACCAGCCTTGGTCATTAGTAGCTGTACTGTAAGATGATCTGGAAATGTCATCTACACTACATCATCAGCAGTTACTGTGCAAATTACTTATATGTAGATGTACTTACCGCTATAATATCAAGAGTGTTATCACACACTTTTCGAATTTCTGCATTTTTATCATGCATTAAATCTATCAGGTAAGCAGGAGCCTCTGCGTGAAAATGTTAAGGACAATGTAATATACTATTTGTTAAACACATTTTGAAGAATAGAAATTACAATTTGTGTCACATCTATCACTTTATCATGCATTGAGGAGCAACCTGAATGTTTTGTAGCCAATCCTGAATTTCAGTAACCCCCTCACACTGTGTCCAACATGCCACCTAACACTTCATTTAGACCTGATGTCATCTATCTATTCATAAAAAGGAAGACATACATGCTAACATTGCTGACATAAACTGGCATGCTACTCTGGAATTGATACCTAGTGAGTCACTAAGCTTAAATAAATAAATGCAGGGTGGGGATGCAACTCCGTAGTTCAGCTGTTGTATAGCTGTGATGTGCACTTTTTTTTTTTAAGGAAACCTTGCATGCAAGAAATACCATGGCAGACATTGCTGATCTCCTCAGAAAGCACTAATACTACATTGTCAGCATGACAGCCTGAGAGCTAACATTTTAGAAAAATACGTCTGCAATGGAACTCCCTGTATTTCTTACTTGATATGGTTCTTTAAAGTCAAGAAAAAATGAGCGGATCAATGAGTCCCCTGTAAAATTCACTGTAAGATGCCACACCGATTTCTATCTATCTGAGGAAAGGGCCAAGCAAGAGGAAAACATTGCTGAGCTGCTGGCCCTTTGCTACAGCAAAGTGAGAAGACAATATTATAATTAGGGTGGACAAAATATTCAAAAAGTGGAGAAAAAATTAACTAAGGCAGTATAGAGAGGCTAAAAATTGTGGGGAAAGTGAACAAAAGATGGCTTGGGTTACAGTGGGAAAAAGGTGATATAAATACTTTAGAATGAGGCAGAAGGTACAGTGGACATCACAGTAAGGCTACGTTCACACTAGCAGGCGGCAGAAGGAAGCGTTTTTAAAACGCCTCTGCCAACTCTGCACATTAAGCACATGGTGCTGTTCTAACGGGTAGCGTTTGAAAACGGACGCCTCTGGAATCACTTTGAAGCCTCCTATTGGGGGCTCCGAAACGCCCGGCCGGCGTTTGCGGTGCGGTTGCGGGGCGTTTGCAGTAACACCACTCAAACTGCACCGTTATTAACGCTGGGGAACCGCCGCTAAACCGCGCATGCGGCGTTTGCGGAGCGTTTGCCGAGCGTTAAAAACGCTCAGCAAACGCCGGACCAACGCTTTTAAACGCTATAGGGGCGTTTGGCAAGCGTTGGCAAAAAGCAGCCAAGTTGTGAACGAGCCCTTAGAGAAGGATTTAATGGGTATGGAGGTGGAATACTCATTGGGGCGAAGGTAGTTCACCTGCTGGGGAAAGGCATTGGGCTTAAGCAGAAAGTATGGTTGAGATCAGGCATTTCAAACAGATTGTAATAAAAGCTCGACACTGACAAATGGAATATTCTGTTTAATTCTATATATGGTTTTCCATTAGCTTTGTCTTTAAATTGAATTGCCAGCAGACGATAAAATACCAATTAATACAGGTTTTTATTCACTAAAATGCTTAAACAAATCTTTTAAATGAAAAACCTGCAGCGTCCCCGGCCATCTCCTCTGGCCGATGTCGGCATCCGGCTTCTGTGTTCCAGTCCCTGTGACATCAGGATATATGGGCGCTGGAACCGGCGGCAAATTTGAAACTTTTTAAAAATAAAATTTTTTTGAAAACGATTATTACATAGTAAAACATTGCTGTTTCAAAGCATTTCACATACATTTTGTCCTTACTGCTTTGTCCTGTCCCCTGCCTGCATTTTGACTGTTCTTTCTGCCTGGAAACTTAGAAAAGTCCATGGCGTCCAAAAAGTGTCCCTTTAGGTCAAAAGCAGTTTTAGACCAGCTAGAGAACAGCGTTAGTAAATCAGAACCACTTTCAGAATTGAGTGATAATGATTTGTGGGGAAATTCGTCATCAGACACTGAAAACGATTCTGCGACTTTGCTCAGTGATGTGCGAACTTGGTGCTATATTTCAAATTTCAGTGTTTCTGGTTTGATTATATTATTGAATTAAATTTATTATTATATTATTATTTATTATGATTATTTTTTAAATTCTAATTTATATTTCCATGCAAAATAATGGTACCGCTTTCAGCACCAAAACTCTGAAATAATCATACCGCTAGGGAGGTTAAAGAGGTGGAGATCTACCTGAACAACATGGAAAAGGTCAAAGATCACCAGGCAGTGTCCCCTCCTCATCCTCACACCTTGATTTAAACGTTTAATAGCCATACTACTGTGTCGCAACTGTGTGCATTGCACGACAATTATGGGTTTAAGTCAGGTGGTGAGGAGGCCTCAATCACTTGAATGGGTCATGTTTGACAGGTGCTACACCCACCAACCATGGCAGGGCGTATAACTTCTGCTGCAATCTGTGTACACCCCTGGCCATTGCAGCTAAAGGGGGTGTGGTTGTGGCAGGGTGGTAAAAACATATCTTAACTATGGTATCTTACCATCCTCTACACTGAAAATGTAAATGACCCCTTACTGTTCTGAGCCCCCTACAAAGCTGCTTTCACACTGATGTGCTGCAGTTTACTTGAACTGTGTGCAGCGCAGTGCATCTTTGACTTTCCTGGGTTAGCTGCGCTTTGCCATAGACTTCTGTTATATCTTGCAGGTATGGTGCATTTTCTCCTGCATTCCGGAGTTTTGGTGGCAGGATATAATAAATGTCTCTTGGTAGGTGCAGCAAACTGCAGGAAAAGCTGTAGGTACACTGCACGCATGGCATGGGGAAACTGCAGGAATATCACGGGGTTGTAGCACATAAATGCAGTACAGGAAAAAAAACAACCTGGCTCTGATGTCTACTAGGGCTTTGTATGTTTAAAACACAAAGCTTGCACCTGTAAGAGAAGGTAATGTCTGCTTACTGAACACCTAACTGTATAATTCATCTAACTATATTACAGTAATAAATAAAAAGCAAACAAAAGGTGTGTGGGAAGTTACTAAGGTAAAAAACTAACACTTACAGAAGTCCACTTGAGTGCTCTGTATTTATTGCCATAATGCAACCAGGTTGCATATATAATAATACACTCATCTCTTTGAAAAAGCATATATTATTCAGCAGAAAAATAATTTCCCTTACGCGATTACACATTAAAAATAAATGTATGGCCTATTTAACACTGCAGTATTTTGGTACACTGCAGCCACACAACATACACACCTCAGCATGTTCCAGGGTTTTACCCCAACCCCCCATACACTCCATTGCACTTTGAAGCATATACGTTGCAGTGCATCACAGTGCAGAGTAATACATTACCATATGTTGGTGTATAGTGAGTCAGGAGAGAACAGTGCTTGTACAGTTCTGATGTATTGATAGCTCACAAACAAATATGCAGCCTTAACCCAACACGTTATCACGCAACATAACCAGCATTAACACAACACAACAGGGTGGATACGTGTGAATGGACCCTAAATGCTCGATTTATCAAAGTCCAAAATAATTTTTTCATTTGTTTTCTTAATGTTACTAGATTTTTGAGTCACTTATCAACCTTCAAGTAATGGATGGTATCATACAGGATACAAACCACCATATAATAAGTAGTAACTATGCTACTGCCATAATGTGTAATTAGTTCCAGTAGCATGGCACGTTGAGTTCTAGATGTAAATACTGACTGTAATACCCTTCTTGTCAAAAGTTGACAGTTGAATAAACTCCAGATTAATCACTTGCCTTCCCGAGGATTTACCCCCCCTTCCTGACCAGGCCATTTTTTGCAATATGGCACTGTGTTACTTTAACTGACAATTGCGCAGTCATGCAACGCTGTACCCACATGAAATATAAATTCAATGCCGTTGCATTTTGAATGACAATTGCGCAGTCATGCAACACTGTACCCATATGAAATTTATGTCCTTTTTATCCAAAAATAGAGCTTTCTTTTGGTGGTATTTGATCGCCTCTGTGTTTTTTATTTTTTGCTCTATAAACAAAAAAAGACCAACAATTTTGAAAAAAAAAACATTTTTGACTTTTTGCTATAAACCATATCCAGTAAAAAAATTAAAAAAAATCACATTTCATCATAAATTTAGGCCAAAATATATTCTGCTACATGTCTTTGCGAAAAAATCCCAATACATGTAAATTAATTGTTTTACGTGAAAGTTATAGCGTCTAAAAATGGCAGTATATATAATGGAATTTTTTTTTGTACTATTAATGGAGACGATCAGCGATTTATAGTGGGACTGCGGCGGGCATTCTGACACTGGGGGGGAACTAACTGCCACTGACACTAATACAATGATCAGTGCTAATAAAAAGCACTGACACTGTACTAATGACACTGGGCAGGAAGGGGTTAACATATGGGGCGATCAAAGGATTAACTGTGTTCTGTGTGTATTTTACTAGGGAAACATGCTGCTTTGTAGTGCTCTGCTATGCACTGCTCCCTGGGAGGAGCATTATAGTTCCCCCCCTAAAGTTTTTTATTTTTGTATATTCTTTGTATGCACTATTTAGAGGCATTCTTTAGTCAGAAGACTACAGCACTTATTTCACACCATTCACATGTATAGAAAGGAGTATATACCATAGGAATTTGTAGAGGGAGGTGCATTGTAGCACTCCACACTAAGAGCCCTTTCACAACTCGCTCTGCTCTCAACACACACTGACCCCTTCGGGAGGGTGGGGCACTGAACTCTAATGCAGGCCATAGATGGGTCGAAAATCGCCGATTTTTTGGCCGAAAAAAAAAAAAAATTGCCCGATTTTCGCACCGTTAATCGGTTAATTGGTCGGCTGTTTTTCTGGATTTTGTCCGATTTTTTTGATCGGTAAAGTTGGAAAAAACTTTAAAAAAACGATTTTCGCGGCAATGATGGGCAAATCGGCCGATCTTTTTACCGATAAAAAAACTGCGAATGAGCCGTGACCTGCAAGAAAAGAAGAGGAAGAGAAAAAGAAAAAGAAGAAGAAGAAGAGAAAGAAGAAGAAGAAAAAGAGAAAGAAGAAGAAGAAAAAGAGAAAGAAGAAGAAGAAAAAGAGAAAGAATAATTCCTAAACCCAGCACTTGAACCACAACTAAACCCTTCTATCCTTTAGGCTGAATTAACACTATGTGCAATGACTAGAGTTTTACTGTGGTGTAAAACACTGGTCACCGTAAGATTGTTTTCTGGATGTCCCATTCACACTGCAACGCAGCCCAGAGCTGTGCTGCAGAGAGCTGCAATAAAATACAGACATGTTGCATTTTATTGTAGCACACCATAAAGGATCGCAATGTTCTGAACTGTCATGAATATGTTACATTCATAATAGCTGTGATTACTATTGATCTGTGATTGGATACAGCTAATCACATGGTACAAGGTGCTGTGATTATTCAAGGTACCATGTGATAGCTGTGGGCCAATCACAGCATCACTCTATAGAAAGCACAGCTGTTATGAATGACAATCATTCATAACAGCTTTGTTGACATTGTGATCATGTAACCGCATAGCGATCACGATACCCGGGATGCTCAAAGCGGCCAGGTATCGGGAGTCAAAATCTGGGAGTCACGGGAGCGGCGCACATCTAACCCGGAGCAGGCTAGATCACGTACTAATATATGTTCCAGTCTGCCCGTGCTGACCGCCTGCGGTAAATGTACTGTGGGCGGATGGCAAGTGGTTAAGGAGACATCAGGGGTATAATTAGACTCCTACTGACACCTCTGCACTCTGTTGACTTTTAAAATACAGCCACTTACCTGTTCCTCGGTCCAGTGGTGTCCTCACCACCACTGGTTTCACCGGCCGTCTCCTCTCCCTGGCGCCGGCATCTTTAGTGTGGGCACCCGGCTGTGACAGCTTGCAGCTTCACAGCCGGGTGCCCACTGCGCAAGCATCGCTGCGCTTTGTGAATGGCCCCATAGCTTTCTGGGACCTGTCACGTGTTCCCAGAAGACTACGGGGAGGGAGGACAACTTCCGCTTCTGATCGCCTAGGCCAGTGGTCGGCAAGCCGCGGCTCGCGAGCCACATGCGGCTCTTTACAAGCTTAAATGCGGCTCTTCTGTGTGCCGGGCGCCCGCTCCCCTCCCTCCTCTCCCTCCTCTCGGACGGGCGTGTGCAGGGCGGCCGCCCCCTCACCTCCCCTCCCCCTCCCCCGCCCGCTCCCTCCTCTCTCGGGCGGCCGCCCCAAAAAGTCAGGACTCTGCAGCTGTCAGGATGTAGGCGGGGCAGCGTGACGAACTCCTCTCCTCTCACAGTCCGCCCTGAAGACCAGAACGGCGCGGGAAGCACGGCGAGAGGAACGCGCGGAGCAAAGGTAAGTGAATTGACACAGGGGGGACTTACTATATGGGGGATGAATTACTATATGGGGTACTTACTATATGGGGGGACTTACTATATGGGGGGGGACTTACTATATGGGGGATGAATTACTATATGGGGGGGGGACTTACTATATGGGGGGACTTACTATATGGGGGACTTACTATATGGGGGAATGAATTACTATATGGGGGACTTACTATATGGGGGGGGACTTACTATATGGGGGGGGACTTACTATATGGGGGGGACTTACTATATGGGGGGGACTTACTATATGGGGGACTTACTATATGGGGGACTTACTATATGGGGGATGAATTACTATATGGGAGATGAATTACTATATGGGAGATGAATTAACTATAGGGGGGGATGAATTACTATATGGGGGATGAATTACTATGGGGGATGAATTACTATGGGGGATGAATTACTATGGGGGATGAATTACTATATGGGGGATGAATTAATATGGGGGATGAATTACTATATGGGGGATGAATTACTATGGGGGATGAATTACTATGGGGGATGAATTACTATATGGGGATGAATTAATATGGGGGATGAATTACTATATGGGGGATGAATTACTATATGGGGGATGAATTACTATATGGGGGATGAATTGCTATGGGGGATGAATTACTATATGGGGGATGAATTACTATGGGGGATGAATTACTATATGGGGGATGAATTACTATATGGGGGATGAATTACTCTATGGGGGATGAATTACTCTATGGGGGATGAATTACTATATGGGGGATGAATTACTATATGGGAGATGTATTTTCAGTTTTAAAAATGTGGCTCTCAAAATAAATTTCAATCGTGGTTTTGGCGAGATTTGGCTCAGTTGAAAAAAAAGGTTGCCCACCACTGGCCTAGGCGATTGCAGCGGAAGTGGGAGAGGGTGCCTGTCAAATTCAGGTACCCGCTTCCCCCCCCCCCCCCCACTCCCCAAAGGTCTGCAGTCTCTGGTCATCTCCTGTACTATATCTGCAGTCTCTGGTTATCTCCTGTAGTATATCCGCAGTCTCTGGTCATCTCCTGTACTAAGTCTGCAGTCTCTGGTCATCTCCTGTACTATGTCTGCAGTCTCTGGTCATCTCCTGTACTACGTCTGCAGTCTCTGGTCAATTCCTGTACTTTGTGTGCAGTCTCTGGTCATCTCCTGTAGTACGTCCGCAGTCTCTGGTCATCTCCTGTAGTACGTCCACAGTCTCTGGTCATCTCCTGTAGTACATCCGCAGTCTCTGGTCATTTCCTGTACTATGTCTGCAGTCTCTGGTCATCTCCTGTAGTACATTAACAGTCTCTGGTCATCTCCTGTACTAAGTCTGCAGTCTCTGGTCATCTCCTGTACTATATCTGCAGTCTCTAGTCATCTCCTGTAGTACATCTGCAATCTCTGGTCATCTCCTGTAGTACATCTGAAGTCTCTGGTCATCTCCTGTAATATGTCTGTAGTCTCTGGACATATCCTGTAGTACATCCGCAGTCTCTGGTCATCTCCTGTACTATGTCTGCAGTCTCTGGTCATCTCCTGTACTATGTCTGCAGTCTCTGGTCATCTCCTGTACTATGTCTGCAGTCTCTGGTCATTTCCTATACTATGTCTGCAGTCTCTGGTCATCTCCTGAAGGGCATCCACAGTCTCTGGTCATTTCCTGTACTATATCTGCAGTCCATTGGTTCAGAATATGTTTGTTCTGGTTTTCTTTCTCTAAAACCTAGGTGCGTTTTATGGTCAGGTGCGTCTTACGGAGCGAAAAATACGGTAGTTATTTTTCGAACAAACGTCCATCAATACATGACGATTGTAGTTTGAAAGTGCTTCAAAAAAGTTGGTTTTAACATTTGATTTTGGATTGAATGGACTTACACAAATAAAAACCACATTCATTGTTAGAAAATTTTCCATTCTGCTCCTTCTTGTAACTGTGGTAAAAAATGATAGTCAATTTGACATCGCTATCATCTATCCTAAGGCTTCATCTTCAGATTTGATATCTGTGTGCCTTTTGAGTATACGAGAGGGTCAACTGACAAAATCATACTTACACATGTATAGATACATACAGCTACACTCTCTTGTATTTTTAAAGTTTCTTGGTTTAAAAAAAGGATACGAGTATCCTTTATGATGACATCACGTGTTGCTTGGTGGAAAACCATTTGGTAAAATACATAAACAATTTGGCAAACAAATTCATCATCTTCTTGCTGAGCTGTAAGATGAGAAAAATACAATTCACAAATACAGGGATTATATAAACCTTATTAACATTTATTTACAGCTAAATACCACAATTCATCTTTCCAGGAAACAAAAACCAAATCTAGAGTGGGTGACTGGGGACAAAGAGAAGGCAAATTTATGGTATACATTCCTCAGCTCTGTGTATACAAAGGTACATGGGGGATCTCACATCCACAAGTCCTCATGCACACTGGACGTTTTTACAGTGGCTGTTTTTGGCTTTTGACTGTTTTTTCTACAGCCAGTAAACTCCCCAGCATGTTATCCTATGTGTCGTTGCAGACACAGACTGTAATCAACGTTTTTTGGCAGGGATGTTTTTTGGCTGGAAGAAAAACCCAGAACTAGTGGGTTTCTAGAGGAGTTTTTTAGCTGTAAAAAGCTGTAACGCTGAAAAACGTGGTAAAATGCGGTAAGTCACGGCAAACCAGCGTTTTTGGACTTTCTTTTTTACTAAAAAAATCTCTAAAAACACAAATGTGAAAAAACGCAGCAAAACGCTTATACAAAAACTCTGAAAAACTCAAATTTTTAACGTGACTTTACACAGCTAACGTTACCAGCATTATTAAAATGCCCAGTGTGCATGGAGCTTAATGGGCATGGTATTCACACAGCCCCAAATGATCCAAAATAGCTCAAAATTGATATGGTCCAAAAATCCTTAGACAGAATAAAGGTGAATAAAGCACCGGATGGCAAACACCCCCACCCAAAGAATTGAGCGCTGTCATTTCAAAGCCATTGTTTCTAATTTTTAGGGACTCTTTAATGACTGGCATAGTGCCACTGGATTGGCGTAAGGCCAATGTGGTGCCTATATTTAAAAAGGGATCAAAGTCTTTACCAAGCAACTAGAGACCTGTTTAACTTCTATAGTTGGGAAGATACTGGAGAGTTTAATAAAAGACCACATAGATGAGTTCTTGCTGGAAAAAAAATATTTTAAGCAACAGACAGCACGGATTCATGAAAGACAGAAGCTGTCATACAAATCTGATTTCTTTTTTAAGAGGTGAGCAAACCTTGGACAGGGGGGTGCCTGTGGACATGGTATACTTGGATTTTGCAAACACAGTTCCCCACACATGGCTAATATATAACGTAAAGTCTACAGGCTTGGAAAAATCAGTTTGTAAATGGACAGAAAACTGGCTAAAAGATCATATTCAGAGAGCAGTGGTTAATGATTCATACTCTGAATGGTCTAGGGTTGTTATTGGCCTACCCCAAGGTTCAGTGTTGGGACCCTTACTTTTTAATAAATGTATAAATTATGTAGGGTCTGGGATTAAAAGTACCATTTCAGTAGTTGCAGATGACACCAAGCTATGCAGTGGAATAACGTCTTTACAGGATGTCTCCAACTTATAAGTCAACCTCAATACACTGTTTAATTGGGCAACTATGTGGCAAATGAGGTTTAATGTGGATAAATGTAAAGTTATGCATGTGGGGGCTAATAATATGCATGCATCATACATACTAGGGGGGAGCACAATTGGGGAATCAATGGTGGAGAAGGATCTGAGGAACATCAAGCTTAATAATGGCATGCAATGCCAAGCTCCAGTCTCCAAAGCGAGCAAAATCCTCTCGTAATAAAAAAGGTATGGACTGCAGAGAGAAACATATCATTTTTCCCCTGTACAAAATAAGACCTCATCTGGAATATGCAGTTCATTTTGGGCACCAATTCACAAAAAGGATATTGGGGAACTGGAGAAAGTGCAGAGAAGGGCAACCAAACTGATAAGAGGCATGGAGGAGATCAGCTATAAGGAACGATTAGAGGAACTGAACATATTCTCGCTTGAGAAGAGGCGATTAAGGGGGGATATGATCAACATGTATAAATACATAAATGGTCCATATAGTAAACGCGGTGTAGAGTTATTCACCATCAGGTCATCACAGAGGACAAGGGGTCTCTCTCTTTATGTCTGGAGGAAAAGAAATGTAATCTCCAATTATGGAAAGGCTTCTTCACAGCAAGAGAATTAAAAATGTGGAATAGACTCCCTCAAGAGCTGGTTCTGGACAGCTCAGTAGATTGTTTTCAGAAAGGTGTGGAGTTTTTCCTAAATGCACAACATATAACTGGATGCTAATATTTAGGCAGAGTCGATCCAGGGAATATCCGATTGCCTCTTGGGGGATCAGGAAATAATTTTTTCCCCCTGCAGGAGCAAATTGGATCATGCTTTGCTTGGGGTTTTATTTTGCTTTCCTCTGGACCAACTATGAGAATAGGATAAAAAAAAGTGTTTGGTTTTTTTCTTTTCCCTTTTATGGTTGAACTAGTCCTGCCTCTTTTTTTCCATCTAGACTAATGTAATTATCATGTAGCGTTGCCATTTTTTTTGTTTAACCCTTGTGCACCATCCATTATGTCTTATAAGAGTGCAGCACATAATGTTCTGTGAGAAAAAAAAAAAAAAGATCCTCACACTCACCATTCAATAGTTCAATCAAAGCTGGGATGATCCCAGATTTTGCCAACAGAGCAGCACATGAGTCATCCATAGACACTGTTCCTATCATTATAACCACCTCCAGCACAAGATCATCTTCTGCAGCTCCTACATCAAAAAGGAAAAGTCATCAGAAATAAACACACACACACACACATACATACAATCACTAAAATGTGAATACATAAACTTTCCACATTGTTTTGATGGTTATTGGTAAAAGCCCTCTCATGAAAGTTTACCTGATTTCCTATTACACCAATTACCAGAACCTCCGAAGCTCCATCTTACCAGTCAGGATTAGATGTGACATTTCCAGTGCAAAAATGGAGATCTCAGTGATTATAACTGAGGAACAGCTAAAAACCACATGTAGTTCTTTAAAGACTGTGTGTGTTTTTCCATAAAAGGGACAAGTAACACTTGGCAACTAGCTACAAACGTTACCACAGTTTGTAGTTCATGTCAGATGGACAATAATTACTGCACTTCCCTGTACAGATAGTACATTTATTGTGTTTTAACTAATGCCTTCTGCTTTGTCCCATTTATATATCCATTAGACCAAACAGTAAAGCAGATTATTATAATTTTTGTGTCTGTAGAAGCAAAAGTCTCAACATGCCCCACTAATGTATCCCCTGTCCCTCTCTACTGCTACAAGTCCAAGCATGCCCTGTTGTTGTACATTCTATCTCAATACTAAAACAATTTGTATCCTCCACTAGTGACTCTCCTGTCCCTATGGAACTGCATGCTCCATTATTCAAAATCACAGCTCTCTTTATAAACCTGCAAGACTCAGCATGCCCCACTGACATCTATTCTGTCATTATGCTAAGGGCCAGCGCTGGGGTGAGGTTGGAAGGCAAACTGCACAATAGCCCATGCCATCCAACCTCCCCAGAGCCTCTTCCAACAGAATGCATTAAAATGTGTGCCATGACTTGCATGCTTTCTAAAAGGTACTCGAATAGTAGGTTGTATTAAGCATCCTGGAGAACTTGCCACAGTTCTTCTATAGATTTTGGAAGTACAACATTGTATTACTACCTTTTATGTCTGTAAGTGTTCTCAGACCGGCTCAGTCATATTGAGATCAGGGTTCTGTGGGGGACAAACCTTCTGTTGCACAATACCTTGCTCTTTTTCCTGCAGAAAAGTCTTTATGACCCTGATTTCTCTTCTTGGGACCATTGTCATGCAGCAGGTTAAATTTGAACATATTATATGCTTCATTAAAGCTAAAGAATCTTTCTGTACATTTCAGCATTTACAGTGCCAATTTCTGTGTAGAGTTGCTTGGCTTGGTTTCCACCATGTTGGAACTTCGTTGCTGTCCCTCAACCTTGCTGGTTTGTTCTTGCTTCTTAAAAAGAGCTTGGACAGTACATGTGAAAATGACTGTCAACTGTACAATTTCTGCACGAGAGAAACCTTGCTGATACAGAAAGACCACCTGTGACTTTGATTCTGTAAGATTTGACCACATCTACCATAAGTACTCCTCTTTAGTATTGTTATCCCTTGTTTAGTTTGATTCCCACTACTAGCTATCTCTATTTCAGTACATTTAGAACAACCTACATATTAAGTAATTGATCATGAGCACCTGTTTGTTATATTTTCTTAAAAAAAACACTGGGCTGTATGGCTAAAAGGTTTTCATGGTCAGGTGCACTATACAGTAAAAAGGGAGATATGTCTGTGCTCAAATCTTAAAAGGTTTCCACGTATACAACACATGAGATACTAAAGAGGTGTAATCATATTATTATTATATTAATTATTATTATTATTATTATACAGGACTTGTATAGCGCCAACAGTTTGCGCAGTGCTTTACAATATAAAGGAGACAGTACAATTACAATACATTTCAGTACAGAAGGAATAGGAGGGCCCTGTTCGTGGAGCTTACAATCTAAAGGAAGGGGGAGGTGATACAAAAGGTGATAGCTGCGGGGGATGATCTGGCAGAGGTGATTCAAGTACAGTTCTTAGGTGGAGGTGGGGTAGGCTTCCCTGAAGAAGTGAGTTTTCAAAGATCGCCTAAAGGCAGAAAGGGTGGGGGCTGACCGGACATGCTGTGGTAGGGAGTTCCAGAGGATGGGAGAGGCTCTGGAGAAGTCCTGGAGGCGAGCGTGGGAGGAGGTGATGAGGGAGCTAGAGAGGAGGATATCATGGGAGGAGTGGAGTGGGCGATTTTGGCGGTATCTGTGGATGAGGTTGGTGATGTAGCTAGGGGCAGTGTTGTGGATGGCTTTGTAAGCTGTGGTTAGTATTTTGAATTTTATACGTTGGGGTAGTGGAAGCCAGTGGAGGGATTGGCAGAGAAGGGCAGCAGTCGCTGATCGGTTGGTAAGGTGTATGTGTCTAGCAGCAGCATTCATAATAGACTGAAGGGGGGATAGCCTGTGTAACGGTAGACCAGTGAGGAGGGCGTTGCAGTAATCGAGGCGGGATATAACCAAGGCATGGATAAGTTGTTTTGTGGTGTCATTGGTCAGGAAGGGGCGGATTTTGGAAATGATCCGGAGGTTGAGGCGGCAGGATTTAGCCAGTGAGTGGATGTGGGGCCCAAAGGAGAGGTCAGAGTCTAGGATTACGCCTAGCACCCTGGCATGAGGGGAAGGACCAACGGTAGTGCTGTTGATCCTAATGGTAAAGTCATGAGTGGGGGATCGGGGAGGAGGAAATATTATAAGCTCAGTTTTTGAAAGATTGAGTTTAAGGTAGTGATGTGACATCCATGCTATGTCGCTTTAGTAGATTTGTGATACGTGAGAGGAGATTAAGGGGGTGAGCTGGGGAGTGGAGAGATAGATCTGGGTGTCATCAGCATAGAGGTGGTATTGGAAGCCATGGGAGGTTATCAGTTGGCCCAGGGAGGAGGTATAGAGAGAGAAAAGGAGGGGCCCAAGAACAGAACCTTGGGGTACCTCAACAGAAAGAGGAAGCGGAGCGGAGGAGGAGGAGTTGTATGTGACACTGAAAGTGCGCTGAGAAAGGTAAGAAGAGAACCAGGAGAGAGCAGAGTCATGGAGGCCGATGGAGTGGAGTTTACTGAGGAGGAGCGGGTGGTTGACTGTGTCAAAGGCAGCGGAAAGGTCAAGGAGTATGAGTATAGAGTAATGGCCGTTGGTTTTAGCAGTTAGTAGGTCATTAGTGAGTTTTAGTAGGGCAGTTTCTGTGGAATGTTGTGGGCGGAAGCCAGACTGTAGAGGATCAAGAAGGTCGTTGTCAGTGAGGAAACAGTTCATACGGTTGTGAACAAGGCGCTCGAGAAGCTTGGAGGCAAACGGGAGTAGGGAGATGGGTCTTAAGTTATTCAAACAGGTGGGGTCCAGCGAGGGTTTTTTGAGGATGGGGGTAACCAGTGCATGTTTGAGCGGGGAGGGAAAGGTGCCCATGGAGAGTGAGAGGTTGAAGATGTGGGTTAGAGAGTTTAGGATAGAGCAGGAAGGAGGCTGCAACAGTCGTGAGGGGACAGGATCCAGGGGACAGGTGGTGAAGTGGGCCTTGAAAAGGAGTTCGGTAACTTCCTTGGTGGTAACATGGTCGAAGGAGGAGAGTGTAGAATTTGGTGTTGGGCCTGGTATGTTGGTTAGAGGAAGAAGCTTGACACTGGAGATCTCATCATGAATTGTGTCGATCTTCTTCTTGAAGTGACTTGCAATCTCCTGTGCAGTAACTAAGTTGGTGGGTGGAGGCAGTGGGGGGTGGAATAAGGAATTAAGGGTAGAGAAGAGTTGACAAGGATTGGATGAGAGGGTCTTGATGAGAGTGTTATACTAGGTTTGCTTAGTAGCGTGGAGGCTGGAGTTGTATTTGAGAAGAGTGGATTTGTAGAGGGTAAAGTTTTTCAGGGATTTATTTTTATGCCATGCTCGCTCAAGAGTGAGGCTGCATCTCTTGAGACTTCTGGTGTCATCTGTTTGCCAGGGTTGTGACAGGCGAGGCCTGGTTCTGCGTGTAGAAAGAGGAGCAAGAGCATCCAGGGAGGATGATAGATAGTTGTTGTAGGCAGATGTGGCCAGCTCTGGGCAGGACAGGGGTGCAATTTTATCACAGAGGTGCTCAGTAGCGGAGTGGAGAAGGTCAGGGCTGAGGTGATGGAGGTTTCTACAGGTAACGGTTTGCTGGTTGGAGGCATGGGAGGTAGGAAGCAGGGAGAGTGAGAAGCTGATAAAATTGTGATCAGAGAGAGGAAAAAGGGTGTTAGAGAGGTTACAGGGAGTGCATAGGTGGGTGAATACAAGGTCAAGGGTATTGCCATTGGAGTGGGTGGTGGATTGTGACCATTGTGTTAGGTTAAAAGAGGAAGTTAGATTGAGTAGTTGAGAGGTGGCAGGGGTGTGAACATTGACTGGGATGTTAAAGTCACCGAGGATGATGGCAGGCACCTCAGAGGAGAGAAAGTATGGTAGCCATGCTGAAAAGTCATCGAGAATGCGTGAAACCAGGCCCGGGGGCCGGTAGATGACAGCGATCCTCAGACAAACAGGAGAAAACAGACAAATACAGTGCACTTCAAAAAAGCAGAGGGACAGATACAGAGGGGCAGGAAGAACCTGGAACGTGCTTTGTGGGGAAAGAAGATGTCCAACTCTGCCCCCTTTTCATCCGCTGGGTCTGGGCGAGTGAGTCCAGAGGAGGCCGCCGTGGGAGAGTGCAGCTAAGGAGACAGAGTCGGAATCCTGGAGCCAGGTTTCAGTAATAGCAAGAAGGTTGAGGGAGTGAGAGAGGAAGAGGTCATTGATAGTAGAGAGTTTGTTAGAGGCTGAGCGGGCATTCCAAAGGGCACATAGGAGGGAGGGGTTGGTGACTGGAAGCATGGGAATTGAGATGAGAGAGAGTGAGGGTTGCGGCTGCGGCCAGAGAGGGAAGGCTGCTGCTTCTGTGGGTTGGAGTTTGATGGTGGAGTCCACGGGTTTGGGGCAATGTCTCCAGAAGTTAGTAGCAATAGGAGGATGAGGGAGGTGAGGTGGGAGCGAGATTTATATGAGGGCAAATGCCGCAGTGCTTTTGTAACGGTGACATTATGTGGACCAAGAGAGAGCAGGAGAGAAGTGCAATGATATTGAGAGGGCAGAAGTGAGGGTGAT